TGGATCAAAAGCACAGACACTCAACTTAGGCTCATTTGCATTTGCTGCCAAAAAGTCCTGATTCTTCTTTTGAAAAATAGCAGTAATTCATATTTTGATGCCACTTAATCTCAAGTAAATTTGTAAATTTTATAAAAGGCCTCATATTCTTTACCATGTTGCCAGTACTTTCTTTTCTTTTGCATTGTTCTTTTCTAAGGCACTGATTGTGTGGCAGATCACGGATCATCGTAGGGAGCACAGATGAAAAGCCTATTATTCCAAAGGATTAAATTACAATTCTTAGTGAACCATGGCCAAGCTATTTTTTTTTCAAAACCTGGGAAGGATTGGAAATAGGAAATGTTATGCCATGAAAAGGTGTGGGAACAGTTGAGTGGATGAGGAAGAATAACCATCCTCGTGTTATTACATTCTCTTCAAGTAAAATCATGAAACAAATAAAAGATAAAGTCTGTAAAATATCCAAGTGATCAGGAATAATAAGCAATTGAGTTTATTAGAAGTAATGATCTCAGGGGATGGGTTTTTATTGAATTATAAAAATGAGTAAGGAAAAGACGAATAGAGGTAAGCAAATACATATGAATACACAGAAACTACTGAGATGCCAACTTCACTTCAGCATCTTCAGGGTTCAAGGAATATGGGGGCAGAGGATCGAAGATTTGCAGATCACTGCTCGAGTACATATGAGCTCTCTTGGGAAGGATGATAAAACGCAGTGGGAAATTACAGTGAAAGGGAGTCTCTGCCAAGGGTACTTGGAGCGGGACAAGCAAACACTTTCCTAAAAGTCTGACCTTCTAAAACCAAAGGAGAAATCACTTTTGTTTGAGATTCCAAACACCAAGGACGTATCATAAACACGGCTGGGGAGGGAGTGAGGATGAATATTTGGGGAAGAAAACACTATTGAAAAAAGATGTTTTGAAACTCAAGTCCAACAGCATGGGGAGTCTGAAGGAGAAGAGAAACTGACAATTTTGCTGGGTGCTGTCATTACAACAGGGAGTCTACAGGATGTCACTGTGGTTTCTGCTAGTGTGTCACTGCAAGAATCAGGAACAAGCTCCACATGAAATGCTGTAATCAAAAGTGTGAAATTATGCACTGGGGATTTCCCATGTTTCAGGCACATATCAAGTACGATGGTAGATGCTTGGGATAAAAAGGTGGGTGAGATACAATCCATGCTCATTAAGAGTCCACAGTATTTTGGAGAAAAGAGAGACACTCAAGCAGATGATCCCCAATTTTTTTTAAAAAATGGACCAAATGCAACAAGAATATGTAATACAAAGGAAACCGAAGAGCTACAACTTGCTTGCCTAGAGAAGTCATGAAATGTTTTCTTGATTTGAATTGCGTCTTGAATTGGATCTTGAAGGATGAGTAAGAGTTTGCCAGGCACAAAGAAAATAGATGCAAAGAACAAGGTGCATGCAGTGGGATAAGTTCTGGGTGTGTGGACTGAGGGAGCCAGCAGATGAGGTTACAGGAACCTGATGGGGTCAGAGTGGGAAGGGCCTTCTGTACTGTGCTGAGGGATTTGGCCTTAACCAAATGAGTGAAAGAGAACATCACCAACTTCAAACAGGGGGATGGCCTGATGTAATGTGTGTCTCAGAACCAAAGCTCTGGCTTTAAGTGGTAGGGTTAAACTCAAGTCAGCAGGTAGCAGTCCGGAGACCAGCTCAAATAGGCACAGAAGGGGGAGGAGAAGATGGATTCCTTGGATGCTTTGGGGATGGTATAAATAAACTTCACGAGCTAGTAAATGTTAGGGGTGAGGAAGAGGGTAAGTTGAAAGGGACCCCAGCCTGAAAATGATGATGACATTAACTGAGATAGAGAATACTGCAAAAGGAATACACCATTTATGCTTACAGCAGGGCAACAGGGGGGAGGGGCGGTGTGGCGGAGGTTGGCAAATCTGTTGTTAAAATCCTTGTATGTGGAGGAGACTGCAACTCAGAGAATCAGCCAGAAATGTGTCCTCACTCTGCTCCACCTTACTGTGTCCTTAAGGAGACTCAAGGGGTCAGAAAACATTGTATTGGCATTTCACTTATTTTTTAACTATTATAAGACTACTAGAGGCCTGGTGCATGAAATTCATGCACTGGAGGAGGGGGGCCTCAGCCCAGCTTCTCAGACATCCCTCTCGCAGTCAGGGGCTCTCGTAGTCCAGGACCCCTTGCTCCTTACTGCCTGCCAGCTGTGAGCCCGGCTTCTGGCTGAGCAGGGGCGGGGCGGGGGGAGAGTATGGCTCAACCAGAAGCCAGGCTTACTGCTTCTTAACACTGACCCTGCCCCCTGCCCACTGGGAGGGGAGGCGATCTGGGGCCAGGCTGGCTGGGGGAGGGGCTGTGGGAGGTTGAGGCACTGTGGTCGCACCCCATCCAGCCTCTGTGGAGGCTCCGGGACCGCGTAGCCCCTTCTCCTGCTGTCTCTGTGGAAGGAGGGGCCACAGTGCTGGGAATGGGACCCTGGGACCCTGCCGTGGCCTCTCCCATTGCCTCCGTGGGAGGCGACTGGGCCTATCAGGGGAAGGTGCCACCCCCATCACCCCACTGCTGCTGCCACTGCTGGCCACTGCAGCTCTGCCTGCCCTTGCTCAGCCCTCGCAGCCGCTGTGGCTTTGTCTGGAAGGAGTTCCAGATGTTTGGAAGACATATGGTCTATCGATCTAATTAGCATATTACCCTTTTATTAGTATAGATATTTTAAAAAACAGGCATTTCCAGTGTATCACATACCAAATGTCATTGCACTAGAGACCCACAACATGTCTCCTTGTCTCCCCAGATCCACCGTCGAGGTGCAGCCCTCAGAGCACATGTCATTCTCTCTCATTACTTATAAATGGAATCATATCCTGAGATTGCAAGGCAACTTTTTAAAAAACTATTTTTTTTAGCATTTTCAACAGCTTGTCTTTGTAATCAAGAAAATCCTGATACTATGCAAACAATAAAAAATCACAAGAATAAACTGGCTGCTGAGCCTCTTATAAGATGGTAATTGTCATCTAAGCCCCAAATATTAATTTTTGGTGTTCATCAAAATAGCCTTATTTTTTTCATTGAATTTGAATAAATTTGAACTAATAAAATGTTTACTAAAAATGCTCTTCCTATCTATTTTATATATTCTGTTTTATATGTTGTGATTCTTTATAAAATTCCTTCTGAAAGGGCATTCTACTTCTAAAAACATTTCTTTAAAGACTGAATGTAAGTGTATTATACTACATCTACTTCTCTTGACTTATTTTGAGATTGTCAAGCAAGTCTTCAATTTACTGGATACATTTAAAATTATAAGAACTCTCTTCATACACATCTCTATTTTTCTCCATCTGAGCTTGATATTTGTGTCAGACAATAACAGGAACAATCTGATTTGGCAGGATAGTAATCAACCAAAATATGTCTCTTCTGTTTTTCATTTTGCTTGATTACAACATTAAAATTCAAGAATGGTTGAACTATTTTGAAGTCTGGGCCTTAAAAACACCTGTTTACTCATGTGGACATGTGTGAACTTTCCTATTTAACAATAATGGCAGCTTACTGTGTCATTTTCACACTCTCATTGCAAAAACAGTGGCCTGGACACAGCCTGGCAAAATACATTCAAAGGTTGTGGCTGCTGCTAAAATTTTCATGGAAAAATAAAAGTGTACATTAATAAAATTTACTCTTATCAGTTTATACACTCCTATATAAGCGATGATCAACTCCTCTGCCATACATAACTTTTTAATGTGCTATTTGAACTTCATCAACAGCCTCTTGATTGGGTCTCAAGCACTAATCAGGCCCCTCACAAGGACCATCAGAGGCTTAAACATCTTGCATCCATCATGAAGAGCAAGTGAGATCATAATGACTAATCACATTAGCATAATTTAAAAATGCAGAGCGTGAATAGCTTCTTCCCCAACATGTGTAGTAAAAACATATGCACAACAAGACTGCAGTGATTCATTATGCCACTTGCTTGTTTATATTATAACATATTTATATGCCCAGCAGAATGAAACTATAAAACTGCCATTAACGAGTGGAGGAAAGAGGTTCTTTTTTAAAGTGAATTACAAGCATTCAGGATGAGTATATATTTACAAGATTATTTTAAGGAAGGGAAACTGCTATCTTCTTATGTCCTCCTAGGACACTACAAAACCCAGACTCACTGTAGATCTTTAGGAACCTACATTTTATACTTCTGCCCAAACAGTGGTCACAGGTGAAGTCACTGCATATCACAAAAGCACAAAATTAAGGGGGAAAACCAAACAAAACAAAAGGGAAAAAATCACCTTTTTGTATTTTGCCACCTAAATTGATATAAATCACTGGCTCCCTCTCAGGGCTTTGGAGTGTCTGCTGTAGACCTGAATTGGTGTCTAAATATTAGCTACCAAGGGCCAGGCACCGAGCAAAGTACTTCAGATGCAAATATGAAAAATGGCACACAGTCCTGCCTTCCTAGTGCTTACCATCCAGTGAGATGAGCAGGAAAGGAAACAGACATTTAAATCCCAGGATCAAGCTTTCTGTCATGGAGGAATTAACAAGCAAGGTGTCCTAGAGGGCATATTGACAGCATTGATACCTGGAAGGTAAGCAGGAGTTGGCCAGGTGAAATGACAGGGGAATGCAGACAAAAGTACCCCAGAAAAGGACAGTAGTTTATGTGGAATGTTTAAGGAACTGAGAATAGTTTATTATCAGATAATTACCAAATACATTTTGACTTCATACAGCTGTAGACTACAGGGGAAAGTGGTAAAAAAGAGGCTAGAAAGGATGCAGGGAGCCAGATGTCTTCACTTATCAAAAATTCAGAGGAAAGGGATTTCTCAGTATACAAGGGAGACATGGCATTTGCCCTCAGAGAGCTTAGCAGGGGAAGCATACTCATCTCAAATTGTGATCAATACAATGAAGGAAACAAGGTACTAAGAGAGAATAACAGGAGGAACCTACTTTAGACAGAATCAGGGGAGACATCTCTGAGGTGGTGAGATTTGAAGAATGAGAAGCTGTCAGATCATGAAGGCCCTGGTGAACTTAGGGAGTTGGATGTTATCTTGATTTTCAAGGTGTTAAGCAGGGAAGAGATGTGATCAGCTTGCATTATAGATAAATTATTCTGACTGCTATGCGGAGTCCAGGTGAAAGAGGCAGGAGGTAAGGAGATGAGCTGGATTGCTTTTCCAGTAATCTGGAAAAGAGAAAATTTCCTAGTGCTGGAATATCTTAGTAACAGTAGCATGAGGCAGGGATGGAATTAAAATGCTTAAAAATGTGTGTGGCATGAGCACTGACCCATCAGGATGGATGTAGCCTCAGCACTGAGTAGGGTCTGCAGCCCTTTGCTTGGCCAGGCCAGATGGGACAGGTGGATCCCAGAGGTGAGGCCAGCAGGACAGGGGTATAGGCCAGCAGCCTCTTTACCATCTGTATCAAAGTATTTCAATATTTTGGGAACAGGTGCAGCTGCACCAGCCTGGGAATTAATTATACAGAGTCAGGAAAATATTCAGGAGATGATAAGAAAAGAGAAGGCTTACATTTGGATAATGCTTGAAGTGAGCAAAAGGGAGGAGGAGTTAGTGATTAGGCTCTGCTTGGGCAAAGAGATAAACTCATTTATTTATTCAATCACTAGAGGCCCGGTGCATGAAAATTCATGAACTGGAGTGGGGGGTGGCCCTCAGCCCAGCCTGCCCCCTCTCACAGTCCAGGAGCCCTCAGAGGTGGGAGGTGACCCAGTGATCAGGGGAAGGCCATGCCCCCATCACACTTCTGCTGCTGCCACTGCTGGCAGTGCAAGCCTCGGCCGGCCCTAGTTACCTGAGCCTCGGGTGGCCCTGGGCAGGTCAGCAGCCACCATCCAAGGTTTGCCTGCACCTCGGGCTGGCCCTGGGTGGCTGGGGGGCTGAGGGGACTGGGGGACTCCAGAGGCAGGCGTGCAGAGTGGCCAGACCCACCTGGGGGCAGGCCTGGCTGTGCTGCACACCTGCCACGCTGGCGGGGCTGAGGGGACTGGGCGCCGCCATCTTGTGGCTGTGGGCGCCCCCATCTTTGAGGTCGTGGCAGTCAATTAGCATATCCCCTCTTTATTGGCTGTGGGCACTGCCACCTTTGTGAGGGCATGACGGTCAATTAGCATATCCCCCATTCTTGTCTGTGGGCACCAGCATCTTGTGAGGGCGTGATGGTCAATTAGCATATCCCCTCTTTATGAGATTGGATATTTATTCAGCACTTAACATTTAAGACACCTGAGAAACCTGAAATGTCAGGTGAGCAATTGGGTATGTAAGGAGAAAGATTTGGGCTGAAGAAATAAATTGTGGAGCTTTCAGCATAAAGATGTCATTTAAAGCTATAGAATTGCAGCACTCCCCTGGGGCCAGAGTAGAGTGAGAAGCAGGAGGACCCAGGATGAAGCCCTGGGAAACTCCAGCATTTACAATTGAAGAGGAGGTGAGGCTTTAAGCACTGAGAGTGGCTCCTGCTGCAGGAGGAAAACCAACTGTGTCAGGTGTCAGGAGCTAATAGTGTTTCCAGGAGGAGGAGGGAGTGGTTTGCTATGTTGAAAACTGGAGAGATTGAGTAAGAAAAAGACTCGAAGGGATTTAGCAACTTGGACATTGTTGGTGACCTTGATAAGGGCAATTTTAGTGGGTGGCAAGCACAGAGGTGGGGTTGTCTAGCATTGAAGATAAATGAGAGGTGGAGAAGTAGAGATGGGGAGTACAAGACAACTTTTTGCAGTGAAATAGGACTTCTTCGATATTTTTAGGAAAGAGACCTGAGCAAGTTTGGCTGCTAGTGGGGGAGCCAGTAAGGTATTTTGATAGACTCCAGGGATCAGCAAACTAGGGCTCTTGCCTGTTTTTGTAAGTACAATGTATTGGAACACAGCCACTCCCATTCAGCTATGTATTAGCTCTGACTGTTCTGTGCCACAGCAGCTTACTTAGTTTAGTAGTTATAACAGAGACCCTGTGGCCCACAAAATCAAAAGTTTCTGCTCTCCCATCCCTTATAGAACATGTTTGTTAGTCCCTGAATTAAACTAAAATATTACATGTCCTAGCTCCGTGGTTGGCAAACTGTGGCTCGCGAGCCCATTGTGGCTCTTTGGCCCCTTGAGTGTGGCTCTTCCTAAGCCTTAGGAGTACCCTAATTAAGTTAATAACAATGTACCTACCTATATAGTTTAAGTTTAAAAAATTTGGCTCTCAAAAGAAATTTCAATCGTTGTACCATTGATATTTGGCTCTGTTGACTAATGAGTTTGCCGACCACTGCCCTAGCTCATTTAATTTCCACAGGAACACAAACATACATACATATATAAATGCATAGCTAACAAGCAATTTCCCAAGTTGAGGGTGCTATGAAAATTCCCCCTAGTCAGTTTACCAACTTATCAACAAAGGCTTAGCTAATGCTCTTCTGTTGATAATACAGTAAGTCCTCACTTAACATTGTGGATAGGTTCTACTACTGTAAATTACATATAATGAAACCAATTTTACCATAGGTTAATTGATATAAACAAGAGTTAAGTTCCTAGGCATTTCATCAACAATGAATAAAATGATAATATTCTAGGCCCTGCTGTATATATCTGTTATTTACAATATAAATAAATACATTTTACTCCCTCCCACATACTTGGTACCCGACACATGGTAGGTACCCAATAAATATTGCTGAAGCAAGGAAGAAAAGGAACCAGAATCATAGGAGCAAGGAGCAGAGGACTCTCCGGGTCAATGAACTTATATGCAACCATCCCAGTGCAGTTTGTGGAGAATGGAGTAAGTCACATTGCTCTAGAATTAATCTGGGAAGTGGGGGGGAATGGGTTGGGGAGATCTGGCTAAAGCTGAAGAATGTCCTGGATGTGAAAACAAAGTGACACAGTGGCAGTTTGTCATTTGGCAGCAGGAAAGGGCAGACTCGACAGTTCTTTATTTGTTGTGATGAAACACAAAGTTGACATGAACTGAATTTATGTGCGGCCCAAGCCAAGCCATCCCTCAGGAGCTGGGAGTTGGTCTGCTAAAAAGTAGGTTAAAGCAACAAAATTTAAAAAGAAAATGATATTTGCCACAAACATTTTTGCTTAACTGAAAACAAATCAGTATATATCAATTGCCCAATCTTTTGACAAAGGGTCAAGGCCTTTCCTTTGAGCATAGGGCATTACTCTTGAATAAAGCACACCAATAACATATTAACTGATATTTAAAGTATGGCTAACTTTAAAGGAGAGTGAAAATTTATAGATAAATGGGAAGTGATCTGAGTGCAGAATCCTTCAAGATTTTTTCCTCCACAACATTTTTTTGTAATTAAATATATTTTTGTTGATTTCAGAAAGGAAGGGAGAGGGAGAGAGAGAGAGAAACATTAATTATGAAAATCACTGATGGGCTGCCTCCGGCACACCCCCTACTGGGGATCAATCCTACAACCTGGGCATGTTCAGGATTGGTGATTAAACTGTGACCTCCTGGTTCACAGGTTGACATTCAACCACTGAGCCACACCAGCTGGGCTTCCCTGCAATCTTTTGTACCTATATCACTCACAGTTTATGAAGCTTTCAAGTTGTTTTCATAGAAACAGCTTTTATTTGTCTCGATATTTCATCTATTTATGTAATATTTTGTAAAATCACATCATTCTGAAAACAAAATACAACTGTCAGAAACAGATTAAGAAACAACTGATTCTCAGGGAGCATACAATTCACATGAGAGAGAAACCTACTAACTTGGTTCTTGTGTGTGGGAGTGTCATGACATTTGGTGACTGTGGTGAGTCCAGGAAAGGGAGAAAAGTGAAGAGTGTTTCTCTGTGACGGGGGGACAAGCATGTCATGGGGCCCCAGCTGGTGCTTCCTCAGTCACTGACAAGCTGCCAGCAAGGCTGGGTCCTCTGAATATTGACTTGAGGCAGCTGTCCCAAGTCATCACACTCTAGGGACAGAGTATTGTGTATTGGGAAACACCCCTGCTTTAGCTTCTTCTGGAATGTAGTATGTGAATAATAGGTGACTACTCTCCACAATGCAACTTTCAGAGAATTACAACTGATGAGAAACCAGACATATAGCCCATAGCGACTTAGCATATTTAACATTTCCAAGCTACTGAATCTAGATAGAGACAGTAAAATCTTGGTGAGCATATTCTGGCAGCATGTCGCTTGGCAACTAACAAAGAACACCCCAAATAGTAGGCAGAGATCATGGAACAACATAAAGGATGGGACTCAAAGCAGTGGTTAATGTATGACTGTGACTTGAGACTGGGGAGCCTTCTGTTCTGCAGCAAATGCCTAGCCAGCTTTCTGATTTATTTTATGCTAAAATTGGGTTGATAAAAAATGATCCTATTCTTTACTGTCAATACTTTGGAAACTTATTTCCAACAGTTTGGATGATGGAAAAATAAAATTGCTCTTCGAGAGTTAACTATAAAATCAAGATGATCATTGATCAAATATAGATATGCAGTATCTCTAGGGAAGACAGAATATTTACATTATGAAATCTTTTCTAATACTAAATTTTCTATATCAAGACATTAATGTGGAAATATTCTGTGGCTAAAAGGTCCAAATATTATGACTCAGAAAGTTTACATAATTTGTTCAAGGACTCAAAGCCAGTTAGGAGCTAATCTAGCCTACAATCCAGAAGGCTGAGTGTGCCTGCTCCCATTTCTTTCTCTGTGCTTACTGCAAACTGAACGGGAATAAAGCATTTTAACTCAACATGACTGAAGCTTTTATTTCATTTAATCCAGGTCTCCCAGGTCCTAGTCTAATGTTTTTCTCATTGTAATACCGTCTTTCTATATGAAATTATCTGATTAGTTGGTGTCACTCCATCCTTAGTGATCTGGTTACTATAGCTGGCTAAGAAATTACCCTAAAAGTCAATGATGTAAAACAGCCATTTATGATGCTAGTTGAGTCTGTTGGCCACAGATTCAGCCAGAGCACTGTGGGAATGGCATAGAGCTGGGATTACCTGAAGGCTCACTCACATGTCTGCTGATTGCTCGTAGCTACTGCTGGGACCTCAACTGAGACTGTGGGCCACAACACCAACAAGTAGCCTCTCTAAATAGCCTGAACTTCCTTTCAACATGGTGACTGGCTTCCAAGGGTGGGCATGACAAGAAAGAGAGA